GGGTAAAATCTCAGCTCTGTCCGCTCTTGAAATGCAAGCTCGCCTGAAGCCACTAATTCCTAGTTTTACTTAGCTCCAAGCCATAAAGTAGGGACAGGCTAGACTATGCAACAGGTCATGTTTGAAGTTCCAAGGCTGTACCTTTTCTTGTATCAGAGCGGCTTACAAACTCCTTTCCCTTCCCCTCCCCACAACAGAGTGAGGTGGGTGGGGCTAAGAGAACTCTGACACAAACCGCTCCTTCAGGAACAGCTGTGCCAGAGCTTGTGACTGACCCAAGGTCACATCAGCAGGTGCAAGTGGAGAAGTGGGGAATCAAACCCGGTTCTCCCAGATTAGAGTCCGCACACTTAACCACTACACGAAACTGTCTCTCTTTAGCCATTAAAAAGAAACGAAGCAACTAACCCACCCACCCACCTGGATTTATTTTGCTTCTACAGAAATGCAGGACAAAGACATATGACAGAATAGAATCTGTGCACTGCATGAATAAAACAGGACTCCAGGTTTGTTTTTAAAAAATCACTCCCCAAAGCGTGAAAACATACCCCCCTACTTCAGACCAACACAAGCAGTTTGTTGAGGTCAATGGGCTTCGAAGGCTATAACTCTGCTTCGGACTGCACTGTGGTAAAAAAAAAAAAAAAACCAGTAGTTTGTACTGTATTTTTTTTTGAATGCGTTCTTTTTCTTCTTCCTGTCCTTACTGAGACCTTACAACAAACAAACAAAACTCCTCTACGATCTGGGCCGTGTCATTCTCAAAACAAACAGTGGTATCTGAAGAAGTGAGTAGTGACTCATGAAAGCTCCTACCCTGCCACATATTTCTTTAGTCTTTAAGGAGCTACTGGACTCTTGCTCTTTTTTAGTGGTATATTAAGGAGGCGGTCTACTCAGAATCCTGCTCAGGCCATTCAGTGGCTCATCCTCCCAGGAAACTGTTTTTAGGTTTGGACCGATCCTCCTTGATCTCTTTTAGCATAAGGGAAGCAGGAACACATCTGTTGCGATTTTCCTGCTAAAGGCCTTGGGAAGGGTCCCCGGGCTTCAGTGTCGGCCCCAAATCTGCTGATGTAATCTGGGAGTATGAGTGATCCAATGGGATGAACAGACCGTGAGCCTTAAAAGGAATCTCCAGACATGCAAGCTGAGACGTCACTTTCTGCTCAAGCTATTTTTTCCCCTATGGGGGCAAAGCCAAATAGTTGCCATGGGAATGGGCTAGCATGTTCTGACTGAGACTTGGCATTGGCTCCGGAAAGTCAGCATTCAAGTACTATTACAGCCTCATGCCCATTGTATGGCCTTGGGCATGTCAGATTTGCTCATGACCCAAACCTTGGTTTGCATGGGCAGGCTTTGCCCCTTACCCAGGCTGTGCATGGGAGGCAGCATGAAGGGATACTAGTGATGCCAGCCTCCAGGAGGGACCTGGGGATCCTCCAGAATTACAGCTCATCTCCAGACTACAGAGATCAGTTCACCTGGAGAAAATGGATGCATTTGAAGGTAGACCTTATGGCATTGTACCCTACTGAGGTCCCTGTCCTCCCCAGGCTCTACCCCAAATCTTCAGGAGTTTCCCAACCTGGATCTGGCAACCTTATGACTCCCATCCCCTGCCGGTGGCCAGGGAAGACCTGGCAACCGCAAGAGATACACCTATATAACCCTGCCAGGAGAGGCTATTCTAATGTGGGCTGGGGAGCTCAGCCCACCCTGGCATCAATGTAAAATTCAACTGAAAATACTGCACCACTCTTTGCACTTACAAATGATTTCCATTTTTACCTGCTGTTGTCCTCTCACAGATGGGAGGAGGTTAAAGATGTATCAGTCACTGGGACAATTTTTTTTTTGTTCTTCCCCTTACAGCCCCTCTCAAACTCTCCTAGGGAGGGGGAAAAGAGTTTGCAGAGAGGTTTGTGTAACTAGGGTCCCTGCCACATGGCAGGAAAAACACTGACCAAAAGAGAGACGCCGCGGCGGGATCCCACGGATCCCCTGAGCCGCGGCGCGTTGCTCCCCGGCACAATCAGATGCTGGGGAGGAAGAGACGATCGGGAGGGGGATGCTGCCGAACTGTGCATGTGCAAGCATGCACAGTTCAGCCGAGGATGCGCCGGTGGAGGGGCGCGCCGGCAAGCCCACGGCCGGCATTGATGCGGCCTTTCGGAAAGAACCACCTAGGTAGGTGGTTCTTTTTTGCTGCGGGGTTTGGATGGAAGGGGCGGATCGGGAACGGCCGCGGCACGCTTCCCAGATGTTGCTGTGGGATGGCGCCCGTTTGCTGCGCCCTCGATCCGTCCCTCTCCCGGCCCAAAACCACTCGTGTGACCGGGGCCTAGGGTTTGTGGTTTTTTTGCCATATCTACTCTGTTCCTGGTCTTTTTTATCTTTCTGGTTCCTAGATATTTCACAGGTAGCTTCATTCCTACCATTACGACGCTCAGTGGGCTGAGTACCGAGATAGCCCAAGCCAGTCACTTGTACAACTGAGCTACTAGGATTTGCCTCTTAAGGCAGTCTTTTATTTCCAGAAACGAAAGTGGTAATGCTCAAGCTATGCAATGGGCCTGCTAGATTCTGTGCTGTCTTGGCCATGCTGCAGTGCATTGGACACCATTAGGACTGCCATTCCCCTGGTGGGGCCAGGGGATCCCCCGATTTTGGGCCCCCCAATCTGCTGTAGCCCAGCTGGCCAGTGGAGGAAGCCCCGCCCCTGAGAAGCTCCCTCCCAGCACTGGTGGTGCCAGTGTGATGACATCACGCGGGAGTGACAACATCATGTTTCTGACATCAGGGAAGGATTGGGAGTCCCCCTGCTGGCAGCCAAGTAGGACCTGGCTAGGGCTGCCAAGTGGGGGCGGGTGGCGGGTAAACCCCCGCTTTGGAGGCCCGATTTTTGCCACCGCGGAATCAGGCCCCAGGGGGATCTCCGCCCCCCAAAGTGCAGCGTGGCTGCGTCACCAGAGGTGATGCAACCACATCGATCACGTTTTCCCTCCGACGATCGTGGCCACGCCCCCAACGTGATCGATGTTGCGCATCACTTCCGGGACGTGCTGGCGGTGTGCACGCGCTTTGCGTGCACATCGGAGGAAAGCTCCCGGAGCCTGGCAACGCTCCCCCGCCAGTAAGAAGATTCGACTTGGCAACCCTAGACCTGGCAACCCTAGACACCATTCATGTTGATAGGTTCTCAGTGCCTGCCTTGCATGGTGTTTACCTTTCTCTGGATTTTCCGCCTCTCTTCCTAGTTTTTTTTTTTCCATTTCCCCCAACCTTTTTGAGAGAGCTCTGAACACACAAAGGGTTGTGTATCCCCATAAGCTTCATGCAGATGTTCAACCAAATGCATTTGGATATCACTCAAACTGAGGATATCATCTGAAGAGGACTACTTTGATTCCAACCAAGTCTCAGGCTGTGCAAACAAATCTTGCCACAGCAGGGAGTAGGGGGAGAAACATCAAAAATAACCTGCAGTCCCACCAATTCCAAAATCCGGCAGTTGCCACTGTCTTGCCCATAAGAGCAAGACCGTGCTCAACTGTACGGTGGAAATATTGGTGATCTACCAGACTAACAAAAACATTAAAGTCTGTGAGGCACTTAAAACATGCACACATGAAGCTGCCTCATTCTGAGTCAGGCACTGGTCTATCAAAGTTAATATTCTCTACTCCACTGGCAGTCCTTCTCCAGGGTCAGGTGATCTTAGCCAATGGGTGACAGGAAAAACTGCCCCAGGCCCCCATGCAGGGGGCCCCAACCACCCACAGCCCCACCCTTCAACAGAGGAGGGAAAAGAACAGGCTCCCACCACAACTACTTGTACCCAGTTCCATGTGGGGCTCAGGCATAGTGCTCACAGCAGGAACAGGCACTTCTGTCTCCCCTGTCTGGGGCTCAGGCATTGAGGTCAACAGAGTCCACTTGTGCCTGCTCTATCCGAGGCTCCTGGGGTGAGGGCCAGTTTGGTGTAGTGGTTAAGTGCATGGACTCAGATCTGGGAGAACCAGGTTTGATTCCCCACTCCTCCACTTGCACCTGGCTGGATGACCTTGGGCAAGCCATAGTTCTGATAAGAGCTCTTCTTGAAAAAGAGCAGTTTCTGTCAGAGCTCTCTCAGCCCCACCTACCTCACAGGGTGTCTGTTGTGGGGAGGGGAAGGGAAAGGAGTTTGTAAGCCACTCTGAGACTCCTTTGGGTAGTAAAGGGTGGGGTATAAATCCAATCTCTTCTTCTTCTTCCTTGCTTGGCTTTGCCGAGGGGCTGCTGAAACGGCCCCATGGGATGGTGGCAGGAATTGTGGGGGCCTGCCCCGAACTTTTGCCCAGGGCCCCAGAATCATGAAGCCTGCTCCTGTCCAGGGTTACAGGCAGAGGTTCTTTAAATCATTTACTACCTTATCTTTTTAATTGCAAGTGCTAGGGATTGAACCTGGGACTGTTTGCATGCAAAGCAGATGCTCAGCCACTGAGCCATTTAGCTTCATTAACAGGGATTCTCTTAATTCCTCTTACCCTATTTCTCCCTGAAATCCAACAACCTGTTTATTTTCCTCTTTAGGAATTTGGAGACTGTGTTGATTCTTTTCCAATGTTATCGAAAGAGAAATCCGAAGAGAGGAGGGGCAAGAAGGGAAGTTCTGCAAAACTCCCCTGTTTCACTCTGCAGATGCTCAGAGGCAAACAGTGTCCTCCTAGACCTTCCTACCCTCCTATTAGAGCACCACCCTGAGATGCACAACTTAAAAAAGAGAAACCTTGCAAAGGCTGAAGTATCAAAAAGGCACACAGAGGTGTAACAGATAACTACAAACAGAAATTGTTCTTTCGAAAGAGAAAAGGAAAATAAGAGGAATCAATGGCTGCATCTAAAAGTGTGATTTTTGGAAAAAAGAAATCCCACTCCCCAGAACAATGGGAGAGCCACACCCCTCCCTATTTTCATTCACAAACAAGCTCGATAAACAGCTGCAATACAAAGTAATGTTCTTTCTTGGTGAGATAGCTGTCCCCACGGAAATGAGTTAGAGGATGTCTTCCGAAGATGTCTTCCAAAGAATTCTCCATTTCGTCCAGCTGGAAAAAATTAGTCTGCTCTCCTTTGGACCAAGGGGGAATATTGGTATAATTCAATGCCGAGTGCTTTGATCCCAAGGATTTTTTGTTTTGTTTTTAAGGAGTGAGAAATTCAGATTTAGCATCTTTTAAGAGCCTCTTTGATTTTTACAAGACAATTACATTGCCTGCTTTCCTGCCCAGTTGGCAACTCTTTATGTGTTCATAACAACTAAATTGCAGCTGAAGTGGCATTTAAAATGCTGTGACATTGCAGTTGAAGATCTGAGATGGCTGAGTGGTGCCCCGGAATACTGATCTTTCCAGTGTATGCATGGATTTTTTTTAAAAAAGAGAGAGGAGGAAAGTTACATTTATCTGTGAATGTACTATAAAAGTTTCACTTCTCTGAACTTAAAGCTTACTAAGGAGAATTGCACTCATAAACAACTTAGGTATGTATATTGTTTGCGAGGTGGAGAACAGTGGCCATGAACGGGATATACATTCCAGTGCACGTTCGACTGAACATCTGAAGAAGGATGCAGTCAGTCTATGGTGCATCGCTTTGGCTGAGATGTGCACTCAAACGTATATCTCCCTGCCACATACCTGTGTATGACAACACCTCTTAAGCACATGAGTAGAGCAGGATCATGGCCTCTATATGTGCCATAAAAATCTGGGGGACGGGGAGGATATGTTCTGTTTTGCATTTCCTGAAGCTTCCAAGGGCAGAAGAGCTTATCATAACATTTATTGATATAAATAGAAATGGGCTTGGGAAGCCAGTATATTTGTGACATGTCACTGAGCCCGCACAACATGCCCCATGGCTGGATGCGCTACATTAGCTATCGGTGTGTTTGCCTTGATCTTTGACAATACAGGCATCCCAGAAAGGCTGAAACTTTTAATTAGAGACCTGCACATTCTTCCTTCCTACTAGTGTAATCATTAAATTGATTTTTCCAGTCCATCATGTAATTGTTCCAGCGAAGGAATCCAGCTTTCCACTCTCGTTCTGCTTCGTCAATATTTCCTGTAAAACACAAAATGGGTGGCATTAATCTAAATTTAAATCTCTTTGTACATTAATTGAAAAATAATTCTGATTACCACTGCCATTTCTCTCTAAATACACCCCACGCCGAAGTGCCGTCCCTCTGCGCTTCCCCCCTTTCACCTAATTTATTGAAAATTCAAAGAGTAACATTTTATCTCCGGATCCTGGGATAATCATTTAAAATGAAGCATTATTCTGCCCTGCTAATATTCAGTAGGCTTGTATTTTCAACGTTTAGACCCTTTTTGACATTTACCAAGGAGCCTCCAGATCATGAGGGATAGGCAATTAGTGAACAAGGGTCTTGATATAGACTTTCCGCTAGGGAATGCAGTGAATATCCATCATTTTAATTTGGGGGGGTACACAAAAATTACATATTTGCAATTGCAGAAAAGGACACTCCAAATTCAGCAACAGGATCCCAAGCGGCTGTCGTGGTTCTATTTAACAAACAAGTGAAAAAGCGGCAATACAATATATTTCACAATTAAATCAGCTAATAAATAGCACTGCAAAATAGCATGGTTACTATGCACAATGGTAAGCCCGTCAGCCATCTGAACAGGAACTATGATGACCAACACTAGTTCCCATTGGGTAGGATTTTTTATTTACGTTTTTATATAATTACACCCCATTTTTGTCCCCAACAAGGACAAAAAAAGGGTTACAACACCATTGTCCCCCTTTCCATGTTATCCTCACAACAATCCTGTGGGGCAGGTTAGGTGGGGCAAGAGTGACTGGCCCCAGGTTCTTCAGCAAATTTCCATGGTGAAGTGGGAACCTGTGTCTGTCCAGTAGAAGAAGAGATTGGATTTATACCCCACCCATCACTACCCAAAGGAGTCTCAGAGTGGCTTACAGTCTCCTTTCCCTTCCTCTCCCCACAACAGACACCCTGTGAGGTAGGTGGGGCTGAGAGCTCTCCCGAGAACTGCTCTTGAGAGAACAGCTCTGAAAGAACTTATGACTGACCCAAGGTTACACCAGCAGCTACATGTGGAGAAGTGGGAAATCAAACCCGGTTCTCCCAGATTAGAGTCCATGCTCCTAATCACTACACCAAACTGGAGTCGCCAGAGGTCGCCATGACTTTCAGGCACAGACAAATAAGCACACACAATGCAAAAATACCCCCCCCCAAAAAAAACAAGATTAATACAAATGCATCATAGTTACGTGTGTGGATTAATACTCTGAGCATTCAAAAAGAATGAGAACCACTTGTCTCAATAATTACTTTTGTGGATATTATGTACAGTCTGTGCGCCATCACATGGGGGTGCAATTCTACCTCACCTCCTCATGGTACACCCTGTGTAATGCTAAAGAGCTAGAACTTTTGGCTGCCAGACAATCATAAGATCTCTTGGCTATACTACAGACATGGAAACATTCAACCAATCAAACAGTTCTCAGGATTTTGCCATATGGTAAATAAAGAATCACCACCACGAGATAATTGTATGTCACTCCATTTCCCCAAGGGTTCATGTCAAGAAAACCTGTAAGTGGATTCCTTCAGTGTATGTGTGTGATGAAGCAGACATATATGTACTGGTTATATCCTTTGAGAGTAATAAGTTCCCCTGATTTAGGAATGTGATCTCATCTTAGGAGAAGTTGCAGAGCCCTAATTTGTTTTCATTTATTTGTTTGTTTGTTTAATTAATTAATTATGTACACCCCACCTTTTCCACAATGGGGCCCCAAAGCAACTTATATCATTCTCCTTTCCTCGATTTTATCCCCACAACAGCCCTGTGACTGGGCCAAGGTCACCCAGCGAGCTTCTATGGCAGAAGTGAGGATTTCAACCTGGATCTCCCAGATCCTAGTTTGACACTATTAACAGCTATACCACACTGGTTACATTCTGTTTTAGGAACAATCTGTCTGGAACATTAAGACTATGCCATCATAGTCAGATACTAGCGTGTCACTCATGCTCATGTGGGCTATCATACCTGTCTGATCTGGTTGATAGCAGTCTGCATTAGGATTGGGAGACTGTGCTTTAATTTCTCCCTCTTTGGACAACCATGGAGCAAGTTACAATATCCAGTGATACAGGGCTCGTAATATGAATTTCCCAGCTTTTGTTACTTGTTTTGATTTCAAATCAAATCTTTTGCTCTGAAATTGTTGCTCTGTTATTAATGGTAAAATGTGATACTTAGTTTGAGGTAATGAGCCACTTTTATGATTTCATGGTTGGTATTTATCAGACCATGTAACTGAGGCTGATCACTGCAGGTGGTGTGATTCCTTTAGCTCTTTACTTGGTCTCAATGAAAGTGTCTTCCTGGTCAGTGCAATGCACTAGGACTTTTTTTAAAGCATAATTGTACATGTACATAATTGCACATCTGCCTTCTTTCTGTCTGATTGTTATTTCCTCCACGAGGCAATCTCCACTGTTAAATATGGCATATAGAGCAATGTGATCATAGAGTTGGAAGGAACCTCCAGGGTCATCTAGTCCAACCCCCTGCATAATGCAGGAAATTCACAAATACCACCCCCCCACCCCCAGTGACTCCTGCTGTATGCCCAGAAGGGGGGGAACCCTCCAGGATCCCTGGCCTGGAGAACAATTGCTTCCTGACCCCAAAGTGGCGATCAGCATATTCACAAATACCTACCCCCACCCCTAGTGACCCCTATCCCATGCCCAGAACAAAAAACCTCCAGGATCCCTGGAGCCTGATGTATTAGGCTTGCCTGAACTCCTGAGGGTGCAGATTATGCTGCACTCAATAGGTCTGAATATGCCACCGATTTATCTAGGCTTGCCAAACCCCCGCTGGGCCCGGGGGACTCCCCGCTTTCAATACCCCCCTCCCCGCTTTCTAAAAATTGTAGCCCGGGGGAAAAAAATGGCGGCCGGAAAATGACGCTCTAGGATTTAAGTCCTCCAAGGGCTAGAGCGTCATTTTCCACTTCCCTTGTGTGCTGGACTGGTACTTTCGGTTTTGTTCTTGTGGCGCGAGGCCGGCAGCAGCAGCAGCAGTCTCTCTCTCTCTCTCTGAGCCTCACGTGCTTGCCTGCCCTGTGCCTAGCCTCGCTGTTCCTGAGCCTCCCCCACTGTGAGAAAAGAATGTAAGTACTGGGGGCCCTACTAAGGTTTTTAATTTGGGTGGGGGGCGGGCAGAGCCGGCTCCAGCATTTTTTTAACGGCGCAGGCCCTCACGCCAGCAGCCAAAAGACAAAGTAGAATTTTACTCTCAGGAGGAGGAGACACTCCTGCTCGGTCATCCCCGGTCTCCCTTCCCCTGCATCAATCAAAGCATTTACGGTTGGTTGCACAGCAGAGCTATGTTCCTTCCTTCCCACCAGCTAGAGGGATTTTCCCATTGCTTTGTGGGGTGGGGGGAGAATAGTCTTGGCAGATGCGTCCAGGGAACAGATAAATCCACTGAATCAGAAACCAGGATAAACATCCGGGACTATTTAAAGCCTTTGTTCACCAAAAGAGCTGGTTTTGCATTTTCCCTTTGTTTCCTCCCCGGGGTCTCTCTATATCTCCCATCCAATGCTCCCTCTAAGCTCCCGTCCTGTATTTCAGAAAGAGGCTGCCTTGGGATCCCTTTGTGGGGCAGCCGTGGCTGGCGTCTCCTTGTCGTCGTCCCCCCCCCCTCGCCAGCCCGAGAAACTTTTTAAAACAAGATGCAACAAGATGAAAACCTTGGGAGACTCTGCCAGGGGAGAGTCTCCCCATCGTTCTCCCTCTCGCTTCCTTCCCTTCTCTGTCTTTCTCTCTGTCTTTTTCTTTTTCTTTTTTCTCTCC